TATCGATAAATAACACACACAAACAAAAGTTCTATTTACAACACTGCACATATCATAAAGATGAATTCTAAAATTTCAAATACCCAGATCACAATACTCATGATTGTAGTGAATGTTCCGCCTTGGAAGTTTTGAATAGCACAAACGAATTTATAAATAACTGAAATGTAGAATTTTCAAACATAAATATCATTTCGAAGGAAATATTTGATCAGTTATTACATGTATTAGCTAACTATGCTAGTACATGTACATGTATCATAATCATACGTACTTTTATCTACATGACATGTAGTTCAATTATTCTTCGATTGTACTTTTGCCGGTTCTATTCGGCCCAACAATCATATTTAAATTGGGTCCAGGGACAAATTCGACAAAATCATACGTGACAAAATTATTGAACACGCACAATAGAGCCATACAGGTATCTGTGGTTGATAGAAAATTATTTTATTACTCTGAAGAATAAAAAAACATGCTGAACACAAGCACTATAGCATGAAAGTTCTTATAGTCTAAGCGTAGTTAATAAGATCTTTTGCGCAAACACGTCAAAAGCTCAATGAGAGACAGATCAACCAATGAGACTTTATCCGTCTGCCAATAAGAGGGGAACAACTGACTTTCCTTCGTCATTCAAGCGTAACTTTTTATTACTAGAATTCGAGTTATTACTGGTAAAACTCATAGATGATTATGGCTGCGAGTCTGAAGTTTCCTCTTCAGACACTTCAATCCGCTTTTTAAGAGCCATGTTTTTTGTATCTAGACGCGGTCAGTTATCAAAATGGGTAATTATATGTAATAAAGATGAGACACGACACGAATCTTATTTATAGTTGGACTCTATTCTATTAAATGTAATGATCAGACTTTTTAAGAACTAAGGTCGCATTTTTTGAAGAAATATGACATACGTAAATACTGTTTTATGGAGGGCTTGCTGGAGGTGCAGGTATGTTTACTCACTTTGGCTATCTAGTCTTGGTTAATAATACTTATGCTGTCAGAATTGTCAGAATTGATAACGATATAAGAATTATTAAAAAAAAGAGATATCACGTTCAAGACTCTTAATCATTCATTCTTCTGGGCTTCAGAGTTTCGACCTACGTCTCGAAACTCAAAGGGAACCTGAGGAAACAAGTCCTTTTCTAAATGAAACCACAAATTTATTGAAAGAAAATAAAAATGAACAAGTTTTTAAAAAATTTACCGACGGACAATTATACTATTGGATGCACCGGAGAAAGTATTGATTAATGAATTGAAATATACCGAATTTAATAATATGCATTCATATTTCAGTTTTCGAATTTAATATACAATTATAGATTTTGAACCACTTTTTAATCTTCTTATTGCAATCTTAAAATCCGCATCGTCTGAAACACATCACGAAAGACGATTCAGAAATTTGTGGATGACAAAAATGAAAAAGCAATTTTAAAATTAAAAGCGTAAATCTTTCGTGAATTACTTTGGAATTTGATTCTCGAAATGTTCATGATAATAAGTCTTCAGAAAAGCAAGAAATGCGAAATACGAGAAACAGGTGCCTAAATCAACGATCTGTATAAATAAAGTTCAACGATACAATATTACAATTAGAGATGCTTATTGCTTCAGTCGGTCGACTTTAGGCATAAATCGATACAAACACAAACAGAAGTGCACGACGACTTTCACAAATCATCGTTTTTTAAATAAAACACGATCATAATGGCATTTAAAACTCATAATTGTAGTAAATGCTGGGAAGATTACAAATGTATTCAGTTCACGATATTCATGATGTAATACTTGTAAACGACTGCGTTAGATGTAATGAGCATCACAAACGAATTTATGTTGAATGTCTAGTGGAAATAAAGATATCGAAAATCTAATAAACGAATGCAACAGAATTGCTGGTGAATAGAGATTTCGAATGAAAGATTTACCAATGTTGAGTAACTTGCAAAAGGAAATTTTGGATCAATTTATAAAGCATCCTGGTTTAACGGATCAATAGATGGGAGATGGAATCATGATGGAGAAACTGAAGTTATGTTGAAATCATCACATGATTTCAAGCAAATTACATCCGAGTTTATAAACGAGGTAAACTGGACATCTTTTAAAATGTAAGCATATTGCTTTTTTATTTCAATGTAATTAACTTTTCAAAATTAGATTCTGACTATAAGCTTGATGATATATCTGATACAATACATTACTATGGATTCCAGATACGAAGAATTGAAAGATTAGAAAAATTTGATAACATCGAAGGGTTGAATAGAATTCACAATGAGGAATTTGTGCATCGTGACTTTCATCCAGGAAATATATTAATACAGCCTAAAAGAGCTCATATTGTTGATTTTGGGCTTACCAAACCAGCAGATATAAAAAATTTGATCAAAAATTTGCAGCGTACTTTCTTATATGAGTCAAGAGACACTAAAGCTGAAGATATTTATAGTTTAGGAATGATAACATACGTGTTAGAAATATATAAAAAGATGTATGACCTATGATGACGAACCTTCGTCATGTCAAATATGAAAATAATAACAAAACCTTCTGATCAATAAAATACTACATAGCTCATAACTCATGATGATGGCCATTTTTGAGAATAAACGAATTGTGTGATGAATGATGAATCATCTGACAAATGACAATTTGCAAATTAAACTAAAAACAATAGGTTAAGTCAAGCAAATTTGATTTTTGTTTTTATCTTTTCTAAATTCGCTGTGGCTGCTTGTAATCTTTCAATATATTCTTCATTTTTAATAACAATTTCATGCTCTTTATTAGATGAAACTGATAAATATGACTTTATATAATATCATCAGGAAATTTTTATATCCGATTATAATCGATTATTATCCAATAATCAATTATCATCGATTATTAATAATCGATTATAATCGATTGCAATCAGATATAATCGATGATTATTAAAATTGAATATAACCAATTTTTTGTTTAGAATCGGTGAACATTCATAATCGATGATCATTGATTTTAAATAATCGATTGTAATTGATTGTAAACAATTATAATCGATTGTAATTACTGCAGATCAATAGACAATGGATAATCGTTTACAATCAATAATCGATTCTCATCGATAATTAATAATCGATGATAAATGATTATTTA